AGTGAGAAAAGGATATCCTGGAGGCAGAACAAATACAGAGAATCGTTAATAAGATTGATCAACCTGACAGTAAGGACCAGATATTTAAAATTTAACGGCAGTATCTACGAGCAAATATTTGGACCACCGATGGAATCTCCACTCTAACCTCTTTTGGCAAATGTGTATATGGACAAGTTGCAAAAGAAATTCGAAAAGTCACCACTGCAGCCAAGAGTGCTTATGCGATACTTAGATGACTGCTTTGCACTCTGATCACATGTTAAGGAAAATTTAAGTGAATTACTCAATTTTATTAACAAATTTGATGAAAGAATTAAATTCATAATCGAGCTGAAGGATAATGAACGACTACCCTTTTTGGAAATTGAAGTCATGCGTTTCAACGAGACACTTATGAGTAGACTATACAGAAAGAATTCGTATACGAGAATAATCCTTAATTTTCAGTCTCATCATAACTACGAACTGAAGATAGGAATGCTGAAGAGTTTGATTATCGGAAGCTTACGACTAACGAACACTGAGTTCTGGGACGAAGAGTTAGACAAGCTGATAAGAATTTGCCTTAGTAACGAATACCCCAGATAATTTATGTTGGAAAATGTAGAAGTTATAAAGGGCAGATTTCAACTCGAATTTAATGAAAATCCGATCAGGAATCAGGACCAATAGTGGATTTGCCTGCCTTCATCTGAACTGAACAGAGGTAGAGTAAAATACTTAAACCAAGGAGATAGCAGACGTATTCTACAGGGCAAGAGGAAGACTCGGATAAGACCTATGGAAGGAGGATTGCGTAAAAATATGGCAGACTGATCAACATTCGTAGCACAGGGCCAAAGGGCGGCGAGACGCCAGCGTGGAGGGTTCTCATGAAAGCCGCTCAAAAGGGCACACCATACAAAATTTAAACAAATAAAGAATTGCAATAATTAAGGGGTGATACGAGAATATAGGATTGGTGATTAGTCCAGGGGGGAAGGAAATATACCACGATTGCTTAGCAGACAATTTGTGAAAGGATCAGCTTCACTTGTCTTTTTACGAGTTGTAGCATATTTGCTAGTACCGGCAAGGCTCACTGGCGACGCCGGCGAAACGTCTGGGAATGCACCACGTCCACGTTCTGACTGAAAATAATTCTGCATACTATGAACTCCGGACAAGTTTCGTTCCTCTAGATCTTACTGCCAATATCTGTAAGTTGTGAAACCAAGGTCAAACAACTTCGATATTGTTGCTAAGTGTCAAGACTCACTGACGATGTCGGCGGAATGTCTGAAAATGTACCACGTCTACGGTCCGACTGGAAATTATCGTGCATACAATAGACTCCGGACTAGATCTGTTCGTCTAAGTCTTCCTACCAATATGAACAAGTCGCGTAAACAAGGTCAAACTACTTCTAATTTTGAAATCAGCTGTGAACCTTTAACCAATTGAAGAAGAGCACTCAAGCTCTCGGCAAGATACCTGCCCAAATGGCTCACAATTCCGCCAAAAAATTGCCGTTTTCAAGTAGCGGTTATAACAACAAATAGGCATACACCTATTTAAGATTGCTGTGCAAATATTAATGCTCACACTTAAAAGATTCTCCCCATCTCTATTGTTCAGCCTGCCCAAATACATGTTAATATGTTCAAGACCCTAAAAGCACATATACACCCACCTCACTTGGTGGCTTCCTTCTACTTTTGTCGACCAATTTATCTCATCACTTTAAGGACTATGTGATATGGGTATCACCTCTCAGTGCTAGGCCCTATTTCGTCACAGGGAAGGGCACACGTAAATTTGCATTCAGCAATCGGGTAGCATGGCTTCATGCAGGTAAGCAGTGCCCGTCTAAAAAATCATTTGAAAAGATGCGTTGTTTCCACAAGTCCCATTTCCATGAATCAAACCGATCACATTAATTTATCCAAGAATATTGTGCACACGGTATCCATTATCCCTCTGCCCTACAAAATTTATATTCGGACAGCTCATTTTCCATAAAGGAGAGCCCACAGAGGCCAGCGTACTCACCTGTTCAAAGGCACCCACTCTTATTCATAAACCCAGGTAGACATGGTAATTTACATTCTGGCCATGAACTTGGTACATTCCCATTCATTGTCCGACCAGAACCATAGTAAAGGCCATACCATCTTGTTATTAATACCTTCGAATTAAGTGAGTAGCATGGTCTGTACAGTGTCTGTATTTAAAAAAGAGTGAGATTTGGAGTTTTGCGTTTAATTTTTAGCTACAAAGTGTGGTTGTGTGAAGACAAAGTATCGCGCTGCCTTTACGCATCAGCCTTTCTCTAATACATTCTCCTCGTCTGCTAAATTTAACTATTAAAAGCCGCAAAAAGTTTCAAATAAGTTCGGCTCTATGCTCCCTTCCAAGGAATAAAAGATAAGCTCAAAGTTGAAAACAAATAAGATAAGATTATATGGATCAAGAAAATGTGGCAAATGAATGGTCAAAAAAACATCGTAAGTCCTGGGAAGAAGTTGAGGCAAAATTACAAACGAACAAACGCATGTATATACAGGCACACTTTGGCACCCTTGAATCTCATGATTGTACACACATGATGTGGAAGTGCATGCAGTTTCAACCAGATAACCAATAATAAGGGTTTTGGTGAGTAGTATTCGTAACCAGACATCTGGACCTTAAGAGGCTGAAGCAAGACAATGACCATCCTTGCCCATCGTTATGGAGTGTTCATATGCAAGAGCTCGATACACTGGACAAATATCGGAGTACCCTATCCTAGTAAGTATTCTTAGTTAGATTTAAAGAGATGAGCCATGGTACATTAAGGATAAGAATAGATTCATGCTTAATTTATATTTTTTTACGAACCAAAGTGTGAATATTCAAGAAACCTAGTCCAGGAAATGCTAGGTCTCTGAGAGGCTAAGAAGTTCATGCTTGAGAATTGAACCGCTCTGGTGGATTGTGATTATAATAAATCGAAATAAGGAAACAGGATCGGGCAATAAGTAGGAAAATGTGAAAACATGTAGGTAAATAAGCAGGAAAAAGCGATAAAATTACCGCGCGCCGTGGAAAGGCTGCTAGGTATGCATAATTTTGAGTTCAGATGGTCAAATCGATAGGAAGTTATGATTTTCATCAACTAACCACGAACGAAGGATTTGGATGCACACCGCAGAACCCTGCGAAAACAGGACACCCCTAAGAAACGATATTCAATAAGCTCAGCATTTAATTCCTAGTAGGAATTAAAAACCTTAAAACGAAAACTCAGATATGTAAGTCTTAATGCTCGCCCTGAGAGATGTGTGGAAGTCATGAATTAGAACGGAAATATTAATCAAGTATGCCCTAAAGCGTGCCCAAAAAATGTAGTCAATTGAAGAAAAGTTTACCAAAATAGGCATTAAAAAATTACGATGGAAATGGGGACTATCAAGTAGTTTTTAGCGCCAAAAGTAGCCCATAGTAACTTGTTGTGCCAAAGCAGGATGCCGTCGTGACATCGAATAATAAAATGTAAATCAATTGATAATAATCGAATAGATGTGCTTACAACAAACCTATATAAGGCATTTTGATTCATTAAGTCACGATCTAAATTCTTATGCGTCAAGCTCAAAAATAGTTGGGAGCAGGGATTTATTTATAGGATTCACAGAAGCTAAGGTAAAGTTAATCTTCGAAGTTGCTCAGTAGTCAAGGGACAACGGCCAGAGCCATGGATGCTATGCCTCCTCTTTTTATTAAGCGTAGGCGAAGAAAACTGATCAACGGCGTCAGGCATCGTTAAGAGCTCATTTTGCCTGCTACACTCAGATTCAATTTTTTCAATCTCATAACGTTTGATAGGCCCATCTTGAAGAGCTGTGCCAGGAGCGAATGACACAAATTTTTGACGTTTTTTCTTTGATTTATGAGTTACCGGCTGAATAACCGTTTCAACGTATTCGCCGGCTCCTACCATATCCTCATCAGATGGTTCAGGCTTGATGCAAAGCTCCACCGGATCTTGATCAGGCAAGACGAAGCTGTGCAACTGTAACCCAGGATCTTCAGGATCTGGTCTGAGGACAAGATCTAGGTTCGGCTTAATTTCTTCGTCAGCACAAAGTTTACGCTTTTTTGGTCTATGCTTCACTTCCGGTAGGCCATCAGTGCCAAGGTGCTCTCTTGAATTTGAACTGTTACCAAGCATACCGATGAGCTTAGCGTACAAGATTGTAGAAGTCGCTAGATTGCCTAACCTCTCGACTATTACTTCAATTGCGTCACCCACTTTCAGAGTAACACCCTCTTCTATTATCTCAAGCTGATCACCAACTGACTTGCGATACATATGAACGGGTAGCTGCAGAATAACGGTGGTATTAGTGGCTGCATGTTGACAAAATAAAGATGCCTTCTTAATGGAGCTAACAACTACAGGAAGGACAGAACCGATTTTAGGCCGAAACAATTCGATTGGAGCAGAACAGCGTATAAGAATATAATCAAGCTCCGGAGATAACTTAAAAAGACAGCAAGCACCAGTTACAGTGTTTTCGAAGCAAGCCGCCGGAAAAACTTGCAGAGCCGACATATCAACGCTTTTAAGGACGCCTTCAAGTTCGGGGATGAAGCAGTCAAGCTGTGAGTTAATAAATTTTGACACCGAAAGGATGGGATCGGCAAAGTTGACGGGATACAAGGGAACGACGAATTCCCAAGTGACTTGCTCCATCGAAAATTGTCTGAAAAGCAAGATCGAAACAAAATAAAATAAATAGTAAGAACGAAGAATAAGATTACGCTTCCCATATTTTGGTCAATTTTTTCGACTTACAAAATATGTTTGATCTCGTTTGCACAACTTGGCAGTATTGTCAGGGCGATCTCGAAGACGTATCTAATCTATATTAGATGCGTTCACCCTATTTCGTTTAAGGTAGTAATCTGGAAACGCTGCTTCTATATGAAAAATAAGTACCTACTCTATCTTTTTGAAGGGTTGTAACAAGGTTCATTGACGATGCCGGGGAATGATCTGGGAGAATACTGAGTCCAAGATCCGAAATAGAAAATCTTCGTGACTGCTATGGTAAGGTAAGTCATACAAGCTTGACTCTTTGAGACCGCACTGGTGACGACTGAGTTGCAAAAACGAGATCAGAAGAAAAGGAAATAGATTTTGAGTACATCTCAAAACAAATGTCTTCCAATGACGTTCCATTCAGTTAATTTTAACTAATTCTTTATTAAATATTTAATACGGTTTGTTTCAGTCCCGGATCAATTTTAGTCATATTCTTTACTTAGTCTAGACCGCAAGTGAAGAAGTGTTCGTTTAAAATTTAAGATTATAAAGAAGTAATTTTACGAAATAAGGGAAGCAAATTAAAAAATTAGAAAACAACGATCGCAGATAATCTCCAAAGGCACGAGCATCATTTAGATTTGACAATCAAGTATGGTACAGTGGTAGTTACCTAAAATGCTATTCTTGAAACAAAGTGATCAGCAAAAAACGCTTGACAGCACACGTCGAGCATTTTAAGAACATCCCTAACCACATATGGGAAACTACCATTTTGCTGAAGTGAGCTCCTTATGCCCTCTCACTGAAAGCCGAATATGTTGTACGACCGATTGGATATGCTTCAACACAAGATCAGTGATTGCATGTGTAAGTTGGCCAGAATGGTTGTTGCCACATGAAATGGATACCACATGTTTGGACTTAATATTCTAATTAGTTGTGTTCACCCAATTTCCTCTCTAATAATCACTATCAAATGTATCGAATAGTTGGGTTTTAAAACTATCCGTGAATCTCGTATAAGAAATCGAGTTACCCAAGGTCAATTAGGATTAATGATCTCTGGTCGAGTTTGAAACAATAAAATAAGTATTTCTCACCATACCATTGAGTCTTACCTAGCTTTGATTTTCAAAAGGCTTATTCATCCAAGCTAAATTGATTTTTGGTTTTCGTTTTGGTACCATCAGCGCCAAAAACGGGATTCTAAAAGGAAAATTTAACACTGGGTTACAATCTGGGTGCCCGTAAATCGCGGAATACGTGACTGAGGCAATAATACAACTCATAAGACTCCTTTAATTAAATAAATGGCTCCCAAACTTTTCCTAGTCGCGGCGCCCGTCTTAATTAAAATTTTTCAATAAATAAAACTCGTGTATATTCATTATTTTTTTTTACTTTATTAACATTAAACTAATATTTAATAATTAAGGTAATGGATGAGTCTGCAAATCACTGCATATTTTTTCAAATTGAAGCTTTTACAATATTTCGCGGAGCCCCTGTAGAGGCCGCGGCTCTCCGGGGCGCCACGGCTCACAGTTTGGGAATCACTGAATTAAATTATTAAGAATATTAAGTTTGCAAGCAACGATTGGCCAGATGCTCTCACAGGTAAACACTAATAAAATATTTCCA